TCACGGCCGACAAATGGTCATCCAGTGCCAGCCGCGAATCCAGGAGGACTCCCAAGTTGCGCGCCCTCTCCGAGGGGGCCAAAGTTTCGCCCCCTATAGTCAGCGATGGTGTCAGCTGACTATGCCGAGGCGCTGGCAACCACAGCCACTCGGTCTTGGAAGGGTTGAGCCTGAGTCTGTTCCTCCCCATCCAGACCCAGGTAGCCCTTCTTAGTATTGGCTGAAGCTTTTCTTGCTCCACATGGAGCGTGCCAGAACTAACAAAGTTATAAACGATGGTGAGACAGGAGCACCCCTTATGGCAGGGGACTCCAATGTTGGCAACTTTAAGACCTGTGGACTTCAACTCCCAGGATTCCTTAGCCAGCCATGGGAATTCTGGGCTTTGAAATCTATCGGTTATAAAGTTGCCACGGTTGGAGACCCTGCCTTAGGGGATGTCATGGCATCTGCCTAGAGCCTCTAGGCATTTTCATCCCAACAGAAGCTCTAGGGAAGAACATCATGCTCCGTAGACCTTCACTGGCAGCTGGGGATGCCTTCAAAGACAAGGTCACGCAGAAACCGTGGATTACTTTCATGCTCTTCCACGTTCCCCTTTTTCTCAAGCCCACCCGTCCTTGGCCTGCTGAACCCAAACAACTGTACACTGAGGCTTCCCCAATGGATGCTGGACAGGATTCTGGATGCCAGCAGAATGTCTTCGTTTGCCCCTGGCCAGGGCAGTTTGCAAAGGAGCCCTAGTGAACACATTCTTACAAAACCTGGGGCCTTGAGTTATTTCTGCTACTGCTTCTCCCATCTTCTTTTTCAAAGAAGTAGTACAAGAATAGGGGCTGAATGAAGATTTCCAAAAATAAAACATTTTCAAAAGAAGTTAATGGTGAAGCATATGGCAAGTATTTGAAAATGCTCAATATTTTCCCAGAGAAAGAATGCAGAGAAGAGGGGGAAACGGGAAGCAGAAAGACATTATAGCCACATTGTCTTTTTAAATGATCTTCTTTAGCTTTCTTAATTTTGATTTTGAGTTTAAAAGAGAAACAGGGCTTTGCTACAAGGCACCTTTTTCTAGGAAGCTACTGTAATCTTTTCTCACTAAGCACAATAATTCTTTCTGCTTTTTCCAACATTCAAATGCATACAAATTTATCTGACAAAATGACTGACTCAGCTAAGGATTGTTCCTTTTAAATATCAGCCGAAAGTTAAAAACCAGCCTCAGAAGCTAAGCGAGGTTTGTCAGCCAGACTTACAACTCTGTATTTAATGAGATAGTGGCGGATGGGGGAGCCCCCGTCGTCCTGCTTGATGAGGTTCACTTTGATGGAGTTTCCGTCTTCTCCCATGTGGCCTTCCAACTTTGGCGCGCTGGGCTCCCCTGCCAAAATGGGTGCAATTGCACATTGAATGGGACAAGCAACAGACTCAACAAATAACAAAATGACATCCCACATTTGACCCAGTTAAAATATGCTCCTGTGACCCAATTCAGAAGGTTGGCCATCTTCATACGACCAATTCCATACCACCTCCATCTTTTCACTGCAGCCTAAAAGTTTGTCATGAAGGAAAAGGATTTGAAGAAGATTTTGTAGATGACCAGGCTGAATCCGAGGGAGGAGTCAAGTGTGTTATCAGTTTCGCATCCCTTTGTGCCCACAAGTGGTCAAAGTCCAGCCCTCCTTGAATTCCATTGACTCTTATCTACCGCCAATTTGCCTTAACCGTTAGTAGTTTCGATTCCCATTTAGAGGTAGCATGGAATAAATTTGTACTCAGTGGAATAATCCTGGTTCCAGATTTCTTGTGCCTGAAAGATTCATGATCCGTCTGGAAACCATGAATCCTGGGTGAATCTCCTGAGCCTGTGGCCAAAGGGAGTAGGCAGGAAAACTGGAGGGAGCCTGGAGCTTTGCCTTAATGTTTGCAGAATTTGAATATTTTAGAAGTGTCGATAGACATTTTATATATTTCTTGCATTTATATCCCATTTTCCTTCATGATCTGTTCCCTTGTCTCATTTTTCCTGGAAGGCTAACATGTAGACATTTTCTCCTCTCCCCCCCCAGCTGTTTGTGGGAAAACACAACAGCTTTGTGTTGACAATCACATAGCCCTTCTTTGCTTTCTTGTCAGATTTCAACAGGAAAACTTTAGGAGACTCTGGAATCTGCAAGAAACTTGTGCACTGATTGCTCACCTCTGCACCAGAGGAACCTCTGGGCCTGCCTATGTCCCCATCTAAATAGCTTTTCTGTTTTGGTTCATGTGCACACGTGCACACAGACACACCCTCTTGCTTTTGTTGTTGGAGTCTAAACTATAATAACCACTTAAATATATCCTACAGAAGCTAACATGAAGGAGAAGTTGAAACCAACATGAAATTTTCAGGAAACTACCCTGAGAATTCTATTTTATTTTCCTTCCTTGCTCTTTCCTGAAATTAATTGTTTCTTCTGACAAGACCCCTAAATCAGGGCGTCTCCAACCTTGGCAACTTTAAGACTTGTGGACTTCAACTCCCAGAATTCCTCAGCCAGCAAGTCTGGGAGTTGAAGTCCACAAGTCTTAAAGTTGCCAAGGTTGGCGAGCCCTGCCCTAAATGATGCTAGGGTGAGGATAGGATGACCATGCAAAAGTGTGGGTTGGCTGCCAACTCAGCTGCTGCTGTACCCATGGATAGACCAAAAAGAAAACAAAGAAACCCAAAAGCCAAAGGGAAGGGAAAGAAAAGACCACCTTAAGATGGTTAAAAGAAGTTCCAGTGCTACCACCTGCTAACAGGAACCTCTAAATTTAAGCAACTAATCATCTAGAATTTCTCTCGAGTGGATAATATTCAATGGAATGTTTTTTTCCCAGGCTCACCAGTCATGATCAAGAGTTTTGTTTAGAAGCAGAAAAGATACTGACAGCTCCTAAGTTGGAAAAAGTGGGGAAGAAAAGAGTAGTAATCTGACTCAAGAGAAGTCTTAGCCATAGTCTTAGCCAAGAGTAGTTACTTCAAGGTTATTAAGAAAGGAGACATAGTAGTAGCTGCTGGCAAGTCTCTAGCAGAAGATACTCTGAAGAAAAATGTTGAGTTTTCTTCCTAAGATGTCTACAAGAAGAGATGCAGCAGCTATCGGTTCCAGCTCCTTTCTGACCAGGTCTAACCTGTATGTCCATTTGTGTTTGGGATGACTGGTCTGATCCTGCCACCTCTAAGAAGAGAAACAAGGCCAGGGCTCCCTTTGCCTTCTTTCTGCTGAAGGCAACACTTTTCCCTCCGGGGACCCAAAGAATGGACCTATTTTGCCCTGGAGGGGGCAGTGACCAGAGAATGCCAACCCACTGCAGGTGAAACAGGAAAGGATCCCTCTGATCTAGTTTCTTGCCTTCTTGCAACTGAAAAAGGGTCACGCTCCGAAGATCCATTCCATCGCTTGCTAGTTAATGGGCAACTGAAGGAAAATTGCCCGTTCCCTCTTCCCCACCCCAACCGCTTCCAGTCCCTCACCTTTGATGGGGGATGCTCTGGCTGGAAATGATGGAGGAGGAGGAGGAGGAGGAATCGATGACTGTCAAAGGGCTCCCTGCATCCTCCCTTTTCCAAGGGCATTGATTTATGCCTCCTTTTCCTCCCGAAGGGAAACTTTCTGACAAGCATTCTGGGGCCCTGGCAGTGGCTGGAGAGCCGTGACAAGTGGAAGTCCAGAAGAAGCATCAGGCCCAAGATGGGATCAGACAATTCATGGCTCAGGGTTTGTTTTTTGCTATCCAGATAAAAGTGAGAGATTGGGGGATGGGGGTGGGTGGGAGGGAGGGAGGAGAGATTTGCACCAGGACAAGTGCAACTGAAGGGAACCCAGGCACTGCTTTTCAACAGACAGAAGTCACCCAGCACTTTCCCAAGGACTTCTGGGAAACTACAGCCCGTAAATTAAAATCAGGATAGTACCATAAACTCATTAGGAAGAGAGAGAGAAAAAACCTGGTATGTGCACCCATTGCTCACATTAGAACATTTGGGAGGTGCAAAGGGGGGGGAGGGCTGGGGAAAGTCAAGCAAAGCAGCTCTTAAGTGTATAAATTTAATAAACAAACAGACAAATAAATAAACAAATTGGGTATTATTACCTGATGACGATGAACATCTAGAAAGTTTATTCTATAAAGGAGATGGAGGTGGGGTTTTGTTTTGTTTCATTTTAGCAGACGTCAATTAAAATAATTATGGGAAGGGGGAGATATTAGAAAAGAGTGAAAAGGCACAAAAAACAAATCACAGAAATTTCAGAGACAAATGGACCATTTCTATGACATGAGTGATTTGTTGTCTTTGCCTAAAATCTATTTTGACAAATCTTAATTTTTAGCTGTCAAAATAAACGTTAACAACTGAGATTATCCCAGGTCTTTTTTATTTTTCATAGTCCTCTTGATTAATATCTGACAATGTATATTGATAGTTCCCACCCATTTTTATTTAGGGACTTTTTTTTGTAACGTTTAATCTAATCCTTTCCTTTTTAAAAAATTGTGCAATGTTTTGATTTCTGCCTGTAAAATTCATCCAGATAGATAATTAAAAGAAAACAACAGGAGCTTGCATGAATTTTAGGTTTTTCTAATTCTGATCTCGCTCTAAATCCAGATTTGCCAGCAGTGCTTGATAGCTCCTCCTCAGATCTCAAAGGCTTATGGAGGAATCGTATCAACAGAGGGAAGCTGGTTTTCCAGAGTCAGGACAGACCCGAGGATGGATCTTTCCGCTCCTCCCCAACTCTTTTATCACTTCTATATGGAAAGGGGCTTTGAAAGTCTGGACCAGACTCAGAATGAACCTTTGTGATGTTAACTCTCAAATAGCCAGCGCTGAAGGAAAAAAGAAGTTAGGGTTATTATAAAGTCAACAACCCCCACAATCCGAGAAAGAGAGGACGAGACGACCACACTTAGAGCTTGCCCATGCAACCTAGAGGAAAAGGAACACAACCTCCTTTTACACAGCAACTCATTTGCCTTGAGTTGATAGCAGGGACAGGTGACCGTTGACTTTGGCACACACCATCCCTAAGCCCTGACCCTGCTAAGCAGGCTGGCAGTCCAAAAGGCAGGTGGGCCCTTCTCTGCCTCTTGCTCCAGCGTTCATGCCCTCCTTTGTGCATCAAGAGGAGAAGCTGCTGAGGGAAAGGAGCCATCTGCCCCTCAGGTATCTCAGGAGCAAAGAGGGACATTAAAATGCAATGAAGGAAATGGTGGCTCTTCTTTGCAACAGCACCGTTTCTCCTTCAGTTCAGCAGGAGGGAGAAGAGCCGCCCTCTAGAGTAGACCCAACTCTGAAAGGTTGAGCAGGGGGCTATAAAAAATGTTTGGTCCCATGCCTCTCCTTGGAGCACAATTAAAGACCCTTCCCCGCTTCCTGGTCCTATGCCATTAACCATCTTTCAAGGCTCTCTCCCCCCCCCTTTGGTCACTGTGTAAAAAGGGTTGAAAACTGTGACAAAAGCGCCTGCCACAGTTTCAAATCACGAATGGCACTAATCACAAGTTTAGTCAATAGTTGAGGTAGAAAGAGACACAGAAGAGAAAGAGGATTAAAGTAACACACAAAGAAATGAGATGGATGGGGGGAAAAGACAACAGGCTGCACACAATCAAGAAGGCCGAGGGTTAGTTCCAGGGGGATGTCGCCCAAACATCTGTGGAAGGAGAGAGAGAAAACAGGACAGTGGCTTCTTCACTCCACACGTGGCAACAGCTGTTGAGTTACTCAGGTTAGTTTCCCTGGCAAACCCCTGCTTGAACGCAAAGGGGAGCAGCATTCCGAGATGGGGGTCAAATGGGGTGAAATGATGATGGCCTTGCGTGCTTTTCCAAACAAACTATTGATCTTCTGAGAAGCAAAAGGGCAAGGGGTGAAGTTGGTCTTCTCGAATGTCAGGAGGGGGAAAATCAAGTGACATTCTAGACCAGGGGTGCCCAAACTTGGCAACTTTAAGACCTGTGGACTTCAACTCCTAGAATTCTTCAGCCCTACCAGAATATTTCCTCTGTGCCAGTTTTATTCCCATTGGGTGAACCAACTCTGAAAAACCCTTTGGTTATGCAAACATATGTAAACTCTCTCTTGATTGACTTAATGGCTGACATTTATACAAGTGACTCACTTCCTAGCTGTCTTCTGCCTTCTCAGTTTCCCTGTTCAGGGAAGATGAGTCTAAGGAAATAGCAATTGGATTAAAAAAAAAAGAGGACAAAAGTAGTCCAGGAGAAGGGATACTTAGGACTTCCCCAAGTGATGCTTCTTATTACCTCCAACCTCCCTATAACATAAAAACATATAAAACTGACTGCAGAAAAAGACCTAGTGGTCCAGCAAGACTGCTCTTTTGAGTTTTTTCTTTTGTTCTTTCTTTTCTTTTTCTCTCTCTCTCTCCTTTCCTTTATTTTTTTATTTATTTAAATTTTATTTTATTTTAATTTTTGTTGGATGATGGACACGTGCTCATTCCAAGCATGTTTAAACTCAGTTACTAATGACTGACCCACTACCTCCTCTGGAAGTTGGTTCCAAGCTTCCACTACTCCTTCTGTGAAGTCCTACTTTCTAACAAGACTTTTGAACTTCTCTCCTGTCCCCCCGCACATGAGTTTATCCAGAAGACTTTGCTTAATAGCAAAAACAATATTTTTTTCCCTTAACATCTGAGCATGCTTGCTTGTGCCATTGGCATGAAGCCTTGGCCTCTTATCCAAGCATCTAATCACCGATTGCTGCTAGCATGGAGGTGGAGAATAGGTCTTCAGCCTTGGGCTACTACTTAGTAGACCCAGTCCTAGAAAACCAGGGCCAGATGGGTCTTTCAGAGGTCACCCAAGATCTTGTGCTGCAACAGGACATGTTTGTCCTGGATTTCTTTCTCTCCTGTGCAACATCAAACTTCCTTAATCGGACGGTTACATCAATGCAACTATGGCAGTGTGTTCCAGGTCTCGCACGATAACTGGGATTTGCTGATGGACCAGTAACTGTAGGATGAGCAGACAAACTCAATGAAGAAGCTTGCATTTTGTACTCAGCACTAACCACTGGGCCTGCAGTTTATCTACATGAGTATATTCAGAATATGTTTTTATCTGCAACATGTTCTGGAAGAAAAATACACCTGATAATAGAAATTGAGAAAGGGACCCCTGGCACAACGGAAGCAAACAATTTAGCCTGGCACCCCCAAACACAGCAGTGACTTGCCCTCACAGAAGAGCAACAGAAGGATGAACTTAGTTGGGTTGCATGCAGACATAATGTGTTGAACAAAGCTTTAAAAAATAATGAGAGGTTATAGAAGGAAAATTTTAAGCGATGACAATTCAGAGGTTCTGAATGGAAAAAAAAAAGGTATCATGTTTCTAATTTGTTTTGTTTTGTCCTGTGCAGAATTTGTTAACTAATCAGAACAAAGGCTGTGTTTTGTTGCTGTCATTTAAATTTTTTACCTTCTGTTCACCAGCGTGGACGACATCATCAGCACCATGCAAGCCACATGACAAAGTCACATGATACGCACGCACATGATTTGGTTGAAAGGAAAGTGGAGGAAGTCACATGAAAAATACAAAAAAAAAAATTTAAAAAAACTGATGTAAACAATGGGCAAAAAAGAATCAACAACATTTACAGATTAAAGTCTAAACAAAATCAAATTAGCCATTCTACTGAAACACCAGAGCAGACAGTTAAAAACAAAACAAAACAAAACAAAACTCCACCAATCTAAAAAAAACACAAGATTATTATTAAACAAGCGCAAGCACTGAGGTCCTTGTAGGGAGAGGCTGGGCGGGTTAGGCAGAGCTCTGGGGCAGCAGATGAATTAATACCAAGTCAGATAAAGAGTCACAAAACATCACTGGGACTACTAGAGAAGGGTTCCTCTTAGCAATCAACTCCTGGCACAGCCATAACAAAGGAAAGGAGGGGAAGGGAGGGGAGGGGAGGGGAGAGGAGAGGGAAGGGAAGGGATTTCATTTAGCAACAGGCCATTCACCCAAAAGGACACTAAAAAAGAAAGTCAGCTTCTAAAATTTAAGGCAAATGGAGCGGGCTGCCTTCCTTTAGGCATCGCCTCTTCTCTGTAGGAATAGAAAAACAAAGGAAAACCAATAGACCCCCATGCCCCCCCCCCAGTCTTCCCACTCTGCTAGCTGTGCAGGAAGATAAATGGAGGGTGCCTAGCCCAGACTCCAGGTTTTCCATCATCAGTCCTCCAGGCCAACTGGAAGAGTCCATTAGGATGGGCCAAGTCTTCAGGGCTGAGCAAGACTCTGAAAGGATCAATCAATAATTTTGCTGTACCTGGAAATTCCCGAGGCGTGTGTGTGTCTCACACAGTGTCCAAACGCCTCTTTGCTGGCTTGGACAGCAGTGAAGGTTGACGCAACAAGCGCCTCCTTTTCACATCATTTAAAAATTGTTCTTGTACGGCATCATCAAACCAGTTTCTCCCATATGACCTAACTTGAAACCTGGTATAACCCTAGATATCTTTTATTTTACTTTATTTTATTTTTAATGAGGAAGAAGGATTGCCTGCTCAAGACAAGGCATGGGTGATTGGCCAGCGAGGGAGGCCAACTGGTCTCTTGCTACAAGGAAAGACCAGCCAGAAGGACAAATCTTACAGATTCACAAACAAGCCAAAATCCCTTTGCAAAGTCCACAGCCCAGATCAACCCTGTGGTCTCTAAAGCAAAATCGGAGGCACGGAAAGGTTCGTGGCCTGGAAGGGCTCTCATTAAGCAACTCCAGAGTCATACAGTTTGGATGCAAATCTTGAGCATTTCCACTGTTTCTCTGCAGCCTGCCACCTCCTGGCCTCCTTCTTCATTAATAGCTGCTCATCTCATGAAACCTTTTGGCCCCATTCAGATTCACAGCTTGTAGGCACCAAAATAAATGGTGATATGGAAGGAAGAAAGAGGAGACCATTTCTGAATGAAACTCCTGTCGCTCAGAACCTTGCTTTTGTGCAGCTCTGTGGAAAGAAAAAAAATCTAAGACCCCCAAATCCATTCATAATCTTCTCAGTCAAGAACCCCTGTCCGTTCAGAGAGGCTTGATGTCACCTGCCTATCTTAACCTTCACTCTTTTCTTCTTCTCTATGAAATAATCTGGTGTGTGTGTGTGTGTGTGTGTGTGTGTGTGAGAGAGAGAGAGAGAGAGAGAGAGAGAGAGAGAGAGAGAGAGAGAGACTATTCCCCCCTTCTCAATCTGTCTCTCTGGGATGAGAACAAACCTATTCAAACAGCCAGGATGCCATGCCACCCTTTACCATTAATCGTCTGCTTCATCTTCCATCCAAGGTCTTTCTTGAACTTTCTCAAACGGTCCTACATCCAAAGCACTGTTTAAGTTTAAGGACTGGATGCTTTGGAGACATGCAAAAACTTTTCAAGGACTTGGGGTTTTTTTTATATTTTCTTTGAGCCCCTTCAGATTCATCCTGCTCAATGTTGAAAAGATGAATATAATTTAATTTAATTCATCTCTGCCACTTGCAAAGATCAATAAGCTACTTATAACGGGTGCATGAAAGGAAGCATGAGGAGAAGAGAACAAAGGCTTCCTGGAGCATGGCTAAAAATCCCAATCACATCCATGTCAATGCCTGTGGTTTTTTTGTTTTTTTTTTTAAAAAACCACAAATCCTCCCACGGGGAAGCTGGAGGGAGGAGAAAGAATCCCCCTCCCTTAATTCACACCCATCTGGTCCACATTTGCTGGACGACCCAGCCCTCTGAGGCGGCAAAGTCCCAGCCACTGACCGAATGGGACCCTGGTTTTGGGGGGAGGGCAAAGGGGCAAGAGCAGAGGCTGTGTGGGGAGGGAGGGAGGGAGGGAGAGAGGGAGGGAGGGAGAAAAGGGGAGGAAGCCATCTTGCTCCTCTCAATCTGGTCCGGTAATTTCAGTTTTGATGGGATGCTGGGTTGCTATGGCAACATGAAGGATAGATAAGACCCATAAAGGTGAAGCCTGCTGTGAAGATAAATTATGAAGGAAAATAAAAAGCAGAGCGGAGAAAGAGAGACAAGACCTAATGAGGAGAATGAACACAAAGGAGGAGAGATTTTGCCCTCTGGATTTACCGTGTAAAGACTGGCTATGAGCATTAAGGTTAGAGCAGCTTTTCTCAAGCTGGTGTCCTCCAGTTGTGCTGCATGAGGACCCCCCGCCTGCCCTTGGCAGCTGGAGATAATGGAAGCCTTACCTCAGTCCCTGTGAGGGATACCAAGTTGGGGAAAGCTGACTTCGTGTGGCGTCTTGCCAAGGTCGCCCACTTGCCAAGACTATGGGGAAAATATAAGGACTGGGTAGGGGAAGGGAAGGAGGAAGGAAGGAAGGAAGAGAGGGAGCGAGAGAGGGAGGGAGGAAGGGCCCCAAATCTCCTTCAGGGAGGGTGCGATAGAAATGTAGTAAGTAACCACAATGTCTGAAGAAAAATGGTAGGAGGGAAGAAATGGCACTGGATCTGAAGCCTTGGCAGAAGCAGGATTCAGAGACACAACAGACATCTGGCTGTCCACAGTGGAGAAATGAATATCCCAGTCACTAGAATTGGGAAGAAAGTGGTCCCCAGTAGAAGACAAGGCTTGGAAGAACCAACGCTACTACAATTGTTCTACAGAAAAGGGCAGAACATGGTCCCTGAGCCAGACCATCCTCAATGGCCTCCTCCGCCTAAGGTAAACCTATTTCTTGGCAAGAACTTCAAAAAACACCATGAAAGAGATTCTTCTCAAAAGGAATGATGTACTTTTGAGTTAGAAATACTTGTTGCTTTCCACGTTCCCAGGGAATAACCTGGCCAAGGTGCCCCTGCCAGTCAGAGAGTGGAGGAAACCCAAGAGAAACCATTGTGTGGATATCTGGAGATGGTGGTCAACAGATCGACCACTGAGTGCCAGACTCCTGACTCCAGTTTCATCTGAATGCACCAGGTGAGTTCAGATACTTCTCGCTGTCTCAGCCTTACTCTCTCCACCTGTCTACAAAATGAGGGAATGATGCAAATCTACTTCACTGGTTGCTGTTTTTCTTTTGAACACGATTTCCTTCCAAAATCTTAGGGGGAAAAAAAACATCAAGGAAGGATTATATCATTTGTAAGCTCTCGCCTCTCAAAAACTCCTGGAAGTTTTCTTTAAAAAATTATTCGGGAGGGAATTTAGAAGCCATTCAGGGTTGTTCTGTGTCCTTTCTCCAGCTTTTTATTTAATCCCGAAGAAGCAGAATAGCTCATCATGACATTAACACTGAGATTTCTATTTCGGGCACCTTCCATTGATGAAATTCATCTCTCATTACTTCTCTCTCTCTCCTGTTTAATTCCCCTGAAAAAATTTAGGTAATAACATCCTGGCAATTACATTCAAAAGGTTAACAGCTCAATCACAACGAAGCCAAGGAATCTTTCACAGCAACTTCATTCCTTTGCTAACAGCTTCCTCTCTCTCTCAAACTGCAATCAGTAACCTAATGAAATATATTGCTTCATAGATTCCATCTGGCCCTGATTATGTGACAGCAGATTTTATTTTATTTTTTAGGAAAGAGGAAGGGGACTTTTTCCTGAAGTTGAAGAGTTGCAACTGTGAGGGAGGTGGGCAATTTCTAAATGTGATCGATCAATAAATAAATAAGCTACAGATGTGAGCAGTTTTGAGGCCCACCCCGAGTGACAAACACCCTCATGACCTTTCTCCAAAGGGCTGATCTCAGGGAAACTCCTTGCCCAAGAAATGCAAGTTTCTGTTTACGGCGGTTCTGGTGTCGCCTGAAGGCAAGGCCCCACCCAGCCCACAGGATGGCTTTGTGGGGCCAGGTTCTCATAGACATGGCTGTGGCAGCCATGTTTTCCTTCCAGCTGTCCCACTGAAGGGGATCTTCTCTGTGTCCCTCTGAGAAGTCTCAGCTGTCTGCATTCTCTTGTATTAAACATTAAACTGTATAAAGTGGACTTCCTCAAGTATAGACCCTGCTCTTATCTACACGAGCTAAATCAGATCTCTCTGTCCAGCAGCAGGTGGCATGTCAGAAGCCCTCCAGAGTGAAGGGCTATTGCCCTCTTTGGCCTCCTGCCTGGAGATCAAGGCAACCGGCAATCTCCCACACTTTTGGCCTCATCCGCCAGAACTCTCTGGCATAGATATTTTCCACTGAAAGGGAACTCAGGAAACCATGTTATGCTCCCTGCTGGAAGACCTTTCATCTACAGTTAAGGCAGGGAAAAAGTAAATGGTTCATTCTGATGGTCTGGAATCCTAAGAGGCCTCTAAGACTCCTTTCACACCAAGCCAGAATAGGAATGTCCACTCCAGCCAGTTACTGTAGATCAGACTGTCTTGAAAGTTTATAATGAAGTCTGCCTTCATTCATCTAACCGAGAATAGATGCTGGCTGGGGAATTCTGGGAGTCTTAAAGTTGTCAAGGCTGGAGAGTCCTGGAGATATTTCTCAGTTAGATGAATGAAGGTAGACAGGGAGAGAGAACTTCTAATATTCTCTTTTAGGGAATGGTTCTTGAACTATAAACAAAATTCAAATTATGGACAGATCAGTAATGTTCTTATGAAATTCTTCCCCTGCTTTCTACATATAGACTTTCAAGACAGTCTTGAAAGGACCTGTCTTTTTATATTTTCTCCTCTGTCTTTGCCTGAGCTATTTCTGCTATTTTTTCCCCCTGCACCTTTTCTCCCCAAATAGGGCTTGGCAGAATCTAACTACCTTGCCTGAGACAGCTTGGGGGTGTCAATATTGCATGTCCCTGCCATGGAGGAAGAAGAGAAGAGAAGAGAAGAGAAGAGAAGAGGAGGAGAAGGGAAGAAAAGAAAAAGGAGAAGAAGAAAAAGGAGAAGAGAAGAAGAGAGGAGAGGAGAGAAAGAAAAGAAAAAGAGAAAAGACACCTCCACTCCAACCAGGTGGCATGCAGATAGAGACAACATGCAGACTCTGGAGGTAAGGGGAAAAGGGGAGCATCCACCTCTTGACCAGGTGTTAATGGGAAACACAACAGCTACTTGAGTGTCAGTATTGTTAAGAGAACTGATTTACCCGCTACAGACAAGGAGAAAGAGAAGCAAAGCCAAAGAGAGAAATGTTAAGTTAGGAGAAATCACACGTGGATCTACAGGACACGTTAAAGCCGGGGCACTCTGCGAAAAGGAACGGAGAAGCAGCACTTACGTGGTGGTGGGGGGCCTGTGGTTCCCCCATGGGCGGAAGACGGAAGATGTAAAGAAAAGACAGACCCCCAAAAAAGAAAAGAGGCAACAGAGATGAAAAGAAAAAGGAGTTGATGGAGGAAGGTGCCAAACACAAGACAACACTCTGGGCCACCCGACTGTTGAGGACTAGCTCCTCAGGAGGCGGACCAGCTTTTCAGGGTAAAATAAGGGTAAAGCGACAACGGGCACAATGGGCCACCCTTCAACTCATTGCAAGAGCTGAGGAAATAGGTTACACATCACAGAACGGCTGCTAAGGAGAGGAAGGTATCTGAAGTCGTAAATATGGAGGTTATTCCTGCATCAATGAATTATGCAGGCAGCCCAGTTTCCTTTAGTTTTTTCTTTTAACAGGTGGCCATCCTTCCAAGCTCAGCTTTGTCTGCGACATCTCGCATTTTCCTTTTTTTAAAAATGCATCCTGGGAGACCCAGAGGTGTTTCTATAGTAAAAAGGCTGCTGCAGACAGGGAGGCAAGGTGGGTAGCCCTACTTAATGCATTGAAGAGGGAGGGGAGATGGGGAATGCCCCCCCCAGGGTTTTGCTGGAGGTCGCAGAAGCAGAGAGGATGGAAGAGGGTTGCTCTTGATCATTTCCGGGTGGGGAAGGAGGATATCCAGTCAGCCAGATGTGATAAAAGGGACCCAGCCCCTGAACTTGAGCAAGAGGGCTATATAGCTGAATTCGTCTCTCTCCAAATTCAAAGGGTGCAGATTTGAGATGCATCAGAAATAAATCCAATTTGTCTTTGAGTTTCCCAGAGCTTACAAATTATACAAGGCAGGGAGGATCTAAACAGGACTGCAAACTGCCCATCTTCTTCCAGAGAAGAAGACTAAGCTTAGAGCAGACACCCCTCGCATAGAGGCTGGAGAAAAAAATACACCGGCAGGGCCCACAGGCTCCCCACCACTCGCCTGCCGCTCTGCCAGAATGTGTGGGGGTCTTGCAGCCTATAAAATGTGAGTTGGAGGCAGCCCATTCATGCATGCTATTTGCCAAGCAGACATTTTTACGTCATTCTGAACCGAATTGCACTTCATCGGTTCTCCGCTAGCCAGGGGATTTTAATGCATGCTTCCACATTGCTTGGTCAGCAGCTGTTCCGGAAACAAATTGATGGGAAATTCAGGTTGGATAAAACAATGAAGATCTCGTAGTTCAACCTGCCTGAATTTACCGCCCTCAGTTGCGGCGAAAACTTAGGTGGCTTTAAGAGCCAATTGTGCAAGTCGGCAGAAAGTGCTAAATCTGTTGCCAGACACAGGATGGGGGAGGACAGAGCTGCCCCAGTTTTTCTCTGCAAGCACAAACAGAAAGACCGCATCCTCCTTCACCTGAAGCTGATCTTCTAAAGCTATGGGACTCTATTCTTTTTTATATATATAAGTTTTTATTGATTTTTTTAATACAGTTCAAAAGTACTTATTCAACAAACGTGTTGTCTGAGTTTATCATTCAAAATTCCTAATCTCTTGTTCGTTTCCCCAACCATTGATAAAATAAATCCCAAGTTCCATTTGCGCGCAGTCTAATATTTTTTTAATTATTTCTTCCTCTGGTGGTATTTTTTCATTTTCCCAATATTGTGCGAATATGATTCTTGCTGCTGTTGTTACATGTAAAATTAAGTATATACTATGGGACTCTATTCTGAAGTAGATTACGGATCTCTCGGGGAGATCCAGTAGAGCTGGGACCAGGAAGGAGATGGGAGAGCCCAGCCTTGGAAAGCACTGTGCTCCAAATGAGGTCTTAAGCGGAAGTACATTTTCAAAACTGTTTCACGGGTAGTTCTTGACTTACAACCATCCATTAAGTGATCAAAATTATAACGGCACTGAAAAAAGTGACTGATGAACATTTTTCACCCTTAGAACTGCTGCAGCCTGTCCGTGGGCAGGTGATCAAAATTCGGACGCTTGCAACTGTTTCATATTTATGACTGTTGCCGTGCCCCGGGGTCACGCGATCCCCTTTTGCGACCTTCTGCTAAGCAAACTCAGTGGGGAAGGCAGAGTCACTTAACAGCCTTGTTGCCAGCTTAACAACTGCAGTGATTCACTTAACAGTTGTGGCAAGATGGGTTGTAAAAAGGGGCAAAACTCACTTAGGAACCATCTTGCTTAGCAACAGAAATCTTGGGGCTCAATTGTGGCCGAGGTAAGTCGAGAACTATCTGTAGCCCTCAAGCCCACCTTTCCTGAGAGTAAAAGCTTGAAGGCTAAATTGGGGGGTATTTTTTTACCCTTCTAATCTCTTAAAGCACCCCCCCTTCCCCCAAAACGGGGCTCCTGTCTTCCCCAACCCATCTCCAACCTCCTCCTGACCTAATTAAGAAGATGTGAGGACCGGCATTTTTAAAAAACCAATAGAAGTCGCTGTAGCCGTGTAATAATAATAATAATAATAACACATTCCTAAGTGCTGATAGTGCACAACCCTTTGTCGAAAACACAACTGGACAATAGGATTTAAAAGAAGAAGAAGAAGAAGAAGGTTCTTGGAAGAAGAAAGAAGAGAAAAGACCTTGGGTGGGATGTTCCAACTCAGGGACAGGGAGGGAACCTGCACCGAGTTCGGGAGAGGAGCAGGTGAGAGGTGAAGGATGGGCAGTTGACTTGAGAAAGGGCTGAGGTTGCCAAGCAGGGGAGAAGGGAGGGCTTTACTTACGAACTGGCTGCGTCTTGAAGTCGGAGAGGAGGCTGATCTCCCCAGTGCCTTTGCCGTTGATGGCCGTCAGTCGGATGGCGTACATGGTCTCTGGCTTCAAGCCGATGACTGTGAAGATGCCTTCGGTGTTGGCTGTTCCAGGAGAGACAGCAGGCAAGGAGAGGATCACAACCATCTCTAGGTATGTTCCACCTCACTTTTCTACCTTTGCTTATATGCAGCAGTGTGGGGAAAATGTTAAGCCACGCCGGACAAGAGTCTATGCCATAAGGAAGGCAGAGAGAGGCCGGCTTCATTTAGACTGGGGGTCTCCAAACTAGGTAACCTTGTGGACTTCAACTCCCAGAGGGAATTGGGGAATTCTGGGAGTTGAAGTCCACAAGTCTTAAAGTTGCCAAGTTTGGAGACCCCAGTTTGGTACACAAAATAGACAGTTATGCTTCTCATGCTGAAACACGCCTTAACCGCAGCTAGATAATTATACCCATTGAACACATGTATAAAATCTCTTAGATGAGAACTTGGAAAGAACTGTGGTCCAGACTGTGGTCACCAGGCTATTAAAAAGGCTCACATGCCACATTTTTATTAGAAAAAAATGCATTTTTCTAGAAGCAAATCACAGTTATCGGTAAAGACTGGGCAGGCAGGACTGGGCTCTGTCCACTTGGAAGAGGCAGTCTCCTGCAACATTCACTAGAGGCTCTCCAGAGGATCCAAGGGAATATCTAAAAAGGTTAAATCCTGGCAACTGGACCAAAGTTTATTAAAACCAAGACCTTTTGCTACTCATCCAAGTAACTTCTTCAGTCAAAATGAAGATTTGGGCAAGAATCGTTGGAAAGAACCAGCTCTTGCCATACATACTCTGTGTGTGTGTGTGTGTGTGTGTGTGTTTCCCAAAATGAAAAAGCAACATGTAAATGAAGGTCATGGCAAAAGTATCTTAAAAGGTTAAATCACGGCAACTGCACCAAACACTCTGACTCTCTGCCTATGCAAATCTTTATTTTGACTGAAGAAGTTACTCGGATGATTAACAAAACATTTCAGTTTTAATAAACTTTGGTCCAGTTGCCAGGATTTAACCTTTTAAGATACTTTTGGCCTGGATGATTGAGTCTTCATTTGCATGAACCCCAGGAATCCATCTAAATTTGATTTAGGCAGAAGACATTTTCTGTAGGTGCAGCTAGGCTTTATTTCCCAAAGAAAGGTCAGCGTTCGTTTTGGGGAGAAATAATCTACTTCTTAGAAGAAAGTCTACAGAGCTCGGGAGCTATTTTTGGAGCTGCTGCTGTTTCTTCCCTATTGCTTTATGGCTGTGGCATTTAAGAATTAATGCTTTCAAATTTTTTGGTTCTGCTTTAATTTTCCCGCTGGCTAGCTTCAGCCTTTTTCCCCTTTTTGGGAAGGGGAGAAGAGTGTAAATGCGACCAATAAAAGGATCAAAGCAGATCTCTCTTATCAGCCAGAATGGAAAAGTTGCCAAGTTGCCCCCCCCCACCCTGCTTCCGCCCTTGCATCTTTTAATTGTGTTTCAGTGTTTGACTTTTTGTGCTAACTTATTTATCTTTTTACTCTACATACGTTTTTGGTTTTGGTTTTTTGGTTTTCTGCCTCCAGAAGCTGTGAATGCTCCAACACTGGAAGTTTTTAAGAAGAGACTAGATAGCCATTTGTCTGAAATGGTATAGGCTTTCCTGCCTGAGGAGGGGGTTGGACTAGATGACCTCCAAGATCCCTTCTAACTTTATCATCATCATCATCATCACCATCACCATCACCATCACCATCATCATCATTATGATTGTAAGCCCCCCAGAGTTACCTTGAGGTAAGATGGACGGTCAATAATTTTTACAAATAAACAAATCCTAAATGTAGGACAGGTTCTGCCACCTCACCTTCTTTGGCATCGTAGATTCGGGTGTGCCAATCTTCCTCCCCAATGGCTCGCCACTCGGCTTTGTACCAGAGGATGGGGACACCCCCGCTGGCCTCCGGTTCATCAAACTTGATCTGGGCTGTGCTGGAGTAGGGCTCCACTTTCTCAATGGAAGGCGCAGAGGGAGTATCTGCAGAGGACGGGAACCGGAAAAGGAGGTCAGGCACACACTATGCCGAGATTCTGATCCCAGCAGTAGCCAGTCGCTGAGGGAGCCTGTCAGAAGACGCTTTCTTCCTCCTTTGATTTATTCCAGGGCTCTCCAAACCTGGCGACTTTAAGACTTGTGGACTTCAACTTCCAGAATTCCCCAGCCAGCCTTGGGCTGGCTGAGGAATTCTGGGAGTTGAAGTCCACAAGTCTTAAAGTCGCCAAGTTTGGAGAGCCCTGATTTATTCCAAAGAAAGAGAAGACCACTCCAAACTCACCTGCTTGCACAAGGATGAACTCGGAAGATTCCTGGCCAATCCGGTTGGCTGCTGTGCAATTGTAATTCCCGAAATCGTTTTCTGAATATGGCGTCACCTGAAAAAAAGTAGACTGACCAGGTGAGTCAGAGAAGGCTTCTTAGGAAGAAAAACTAAGCAAGCATTTTGGATTTTTGTCAATTAGGAAAGAAGACAGTTTAAGGACTGTCCAAGTCCATACGGTGCACAGAAAATAGGCAGGTAATTGGCAGCCTGGCCATTCTCAGGCTACTACCAGAACGGATGATTAGGAACAGAGTCAGGAGAGAAGGAAGGAAGATACATTTTTGCACACAACAAATTTATAGAATTTGTGGAAACAGATATGGAGGCACCCATTATCTTCAATAACTAATCAAAACCGAGCAATTAATGATGGAGGAGGAGGAGGAGGAGGAGGAGGAGGAGAAGGAGTGAACTAGCTGTCAGCCTGGAAGAAGGGAAATCAAACATAACATGTGTAAAGGTTGCACAACACCAAACTGGGATGCTGGGAAGGGAGCAAAGCTGCTCCTGAGCACTTTCACAGCCCTCGGGTGTCCCTGTAACTGTCTAAAGCACTCTAAACATGTGCTAAGTGTCAACTGGGACAACTATCCTAAACGGATGGGGTTGCCTGAGCAATGCCATCTTTGGCTTGAATCCTTGACTTTAGTGCGGTTCCTCTGTTCTTTGCACATCTTCCTGTGTGCCCACAGATGCAGCCCGCCCCTTCCCAGCTCTCACCTCCAGGTAACTGGCGGCTGGTGTGTTGTAGATCCGGATGTTGCTGTAGTTGGAGCTGGGCAGCAGCTGTCCATCCCGGAACCATGAGATGACAGCGCTGGGGTAAGCAAAGACTTCGCAGGTGATGTTTGCGGGGTTACCTTCCCAGGTGTAAACCGCAACAGGGCCCTGCAACTTTGGGGCATCTGGAACCAAGGGGGAGCAACGTTGAAGTCAGTCTCCAGGAGAAGGCATCAAGAAGAACATCTCCCCATCTTCTTACCCCTTTTTTCCACCCATCCTCTTTGCCTAATTCTGCCATGGCAACTAATGCTTCTCTAGATGATGCCCCAGGCAGATTCAGCCAATAAGGCCAAAGCAAAGGATCCTGGGCACACAGCCCACAAATACACCATGCTGTGTTCCTTGCAAGATCTTGGGCACTTCATTTACTTGGGGCAAAGGACCTCGGACTGCGGATCATTCAAATTCTTGACTATGTCTGTAGGCAGATGCAGTCAATTCTTTGCCCAGCATCAGACATCTCCTATATTTGATTGTTGAGAAATCAAGGGAACTAGGAAGCCCAGGCAATGTCCAAGAAGAATGAAGCTTCAACAGGACATGCTGTACAAACACAGCTACAGGTCCCTTTACTCAACAATATGTTCCCAAGAGTGGCCACCTAGAAGCAAACATTACTCCAGCTCATCAGCTGACTTCACAAGCAAAAATCCTCCCTCACTTTTGCCCCATTTATTACAATCTGAAGTGCACTGTAGTAGTACTTCTGTTAGTACATGTAGAAGTACACTACAATCAGAAGTACGCTATCTCTGCTCATGAAAGCTCCAACCCAATGGATAAATATAAACTTCCTCAATGTAAAGATGGACAACAAGCTTGAGCTAATATCAGTTAGTTTGGCTTGTTGCCTTTGATTCTTGCCACTTGACCATTAGGCCAGTCAATATCAGTGGATGATGTGCTCTGTTTTCCAGTTCCTCTCGTTCTCTCCCCCCTTTCCACCCTTCCCCAAGTCTCACAGGTATTCCATAAAAGTTCATCACCTGAACGTCCATCTCCAGCTCAGAATGACCCTTTCCTGTTCTGATTCTTGCTCTTTACTCTGCCAATTATCACTGTTTCCATCCCATGAGTTGGAAGAGAAGGGAGAAACACAGGAGCTGGCTCTACTTGGAGCAAGGGTAGAATGACTCAACTTACACTGAACTTCTAGGTACATGACTTGGGAGTCTTGCCCAATGGTGTTGCTGGCTATGCAGGTGTACTCCCCAGCATCGGTGTACTGAATATCCTTCAGAGTCAGGGAAGACACACGGGCGTGGCTGCGGACTTCAATGCGTCCATCTAAGGTCTAGCAGGAAAGAGAGGAAAAATCTCAGAAGATGGGTACAGCGTGAATTCTGGAAGGGAGGCAATGCTGATTATGCAGAAAATACCCCTTCAGCAGGTCAATTCCGCCCTGCGGACTAAGCTGCTTGCCTCCCATGAGGTCCTGGCAGTTTCCTAAGCCAGTTTCAGAAATTCCAGTCTGGACTGCAATGGATTGGCAACCAGCTCTGGCTGGCGCTCAGTCCAAGCTAAGCTGCCAGATGGACCTAATTGGTCATTCTCCTACTTCTTGTCCTTCCCATCTTTACCGGCCAGACAAACCTGGTTGGCTGGCTTCTGTGCGGTCCAACCTATCAATGCCCTCCTGTCCCTTTAAGGTGTTGTTCCCACTTCTCTGGATCCCGTTCCTTTCCTTTGTTTTTCCTTTCTAAGATTTGTTTGCAACACAGATGCCTTCAAGCCACATTTCTTTACCCCCTTTGCTGCTAACTCAGAACCTTTATATTTTCCCTCCTTATCTCTCCCCCCCCCCTTAGTTTACCATTGTGAAAGAGGTTTGTTTCATTCCTACACTTCTCGGAAGGTCTGTGGAAATGCTACGGCAAGGAAGTTGAGCTTCCTTGAAGCAAAGTAGTAATGAGCCTGGGTTTAAGACTGAAGATGAAGGGAAGGTTTGCGATATCCTGGGCAGGGATGGAGAAGGAAGCTGGCACCAACTGCAAGGAGATGTAAGGACTGACTGGAACACGAGCTTCTAGGAGAGCTCCCAGCTATCCCTGGATCAATGACAGCTGTCCCTCTCCTAAGAGAGACCACGTTTTATATGGCTTGCCTGGACTTCAGCGCCCTTCCTCCCCAATCTGCCAGTTTCACCAGATTTTTTTCTCTTTTGATGGAATTATAGGCCGGCTAAAAAGGAGACACCTGCCCATTCTCCCTTCACAGATAATATAAAGATCCACCACCACCCCGCACAAAACCTGCACATTGATCCTTCCCAAATCCACTGGAGAAGAGACGACTAACCCCTAAGAGTTCCCTGAATCAGCATTCCAAAAAGGAAACGTCACCCCCCTTTCTTGTGCATGAAGAGGCTTGTTCCAACCCCAAAGGGAACACACGCACACACGGAGAGAGCTGAAAGGCCCGGTTTGATCGGGTGTTGCCATGGCAACAGATGCAGGCAGAGGATGGCTGCTGCAGAGATGCCAAAACAGGCCTGGCAGCCATTCCCAACCTCAACCCATGCAAATCAGCCAAGAGGGTCCTGCTGCAAACTCCTTTGGATGCAGCCTAGGATTTGGGGAGGGGCAATTTAAAGACTGTGTCCTTGCAATGGCCTTTGCCGTTTGCCCATCTCTGCTCAATTCCTGAACCATCAATTTTAGATCCTCAAAACTAAGGACTGGCCATCCTGGAAACCTAAGATTTTCACTTCCACCTGGACAGAAATTGCCTCAAGTGAGCGGAACCATCCCCATGTTATCAGTAGCGCACTGAACAGGAAGGATCCCTTCTGTGGGCAGAGGAAGAGTCTCGCGCATCAGCCCAGCTCCATCTGCCACACAAAGATCACTATCTCACTCACATCTGTCTTTGTGCAATTCAGGATTTGTTCACTCTCTGCCCAAGCCCAGGTGAAGAGCATCTTATGACAAAAGCTCCTTCTGCTTTCGATTCTCGTCCCCCTGCTTGAAGTGGAAATTTGGGGTCCTCACAGCCATGGCTACCCTCCCCAGATCCAAACTTGATAAGCGACTGAGGCACACATTTCATTCTTTTGGGTTACATTAAGGAACATGTGGTGGTCCATTAAATATGCACAAGAAACCCAACCCAGAAGCCAGAAACTCTGATCTAGAGCAAGGTTCTCCAAACTTGGCAACTTTAAGGCTTGTGGACTTCAAATCCCAGAATTCCCTAAGCCAGCCAGCCTCCAGGCTATATTATTTCAACAACACAAAACTGAAATAAAATCCATCCAAAGGACCATTAACCCTCAGTCCTGTCTGATGCTTTTCCAAAATATAATAGAGGGAACAAAACCATGGAAAAAGGGCATTTTCTTCCTGAAAATAAGTTGCTGCTTAAAGCTTCAGCTACCAATCATGCGGGCTGGGAATTCTGGGAGTTGAAGTCCACAAGTTTTAATAGTTGGCAAGTTTGCAGACTCCTGATCTAGGGGGCCCTTTTCTGAAATGGGTGCAATTGGAGACAGGACCGTTGCTTTGCTTCTGAGATGGAATGTGATGCAAACATTAAAAGAGAACAGAGTGTGTCTAATTGGAAAGAAATGAGCAAACATATTAATTGGTGGATAGAGAGGAACAGCTTTGGTCCCAGGGAATGCAAGCGCTTTACGTATTTTAAGAAGTCTGCTTCAGATATTTGCGCCTCAGCAGCTCCAAACTCTGTGAATTTGATGTTGCATATTGTCATGGAAAAGCTATGGGACCCTTTTAAATCCACCAGCGTCCCAAGGAGCAAGTGAGAACTAGCCAAGATTTGGCCCGTTTTAAGAGAGGATGCTTGCTCACTTCAACATCCACTAGGAATATATATATATATATATATTCCAGCTGAATTTATATCCTCAGCATCGGTGAAGTTACATTGTTAACACTAGCTTTTAGTTTGCTTTGTTACTTCTACAATCAATTGGTTATTTTGCAACAGCTAAATATTTACAAAATGATAGATACATAAAGCTAGATAAAATGAACTACAGTATTGGTCTGGCAAGCTAATACCTCTTGTTTCTCGGGCCTGGTCCATGAAGCCTGGAAAAAATAGATAAATAAAACACACATACACACACACACACACACACACACACAGAAACACACGCGCACACACACACACAGAAACACACATACAAAGAGACATACAAAGAATAATAAATTTCTTGCATATGTTGTGCTGTCCTTCCCCCCACCAGCCCACCCCCTCGCCCCCATTTCAGTTACCACCGTTTATGCTTCCCCCTTCATTCCGTGCACATGCAAAATCAAAATAGGTAAGGCAGATGCACAAGGAAGGTGACTTACTAAAGGAACAAAAACTACTTCCGTTCCTGAATATCTATCGGTTCTTTTCAGAAATGCAGAGACCCAACTGATCAAACGCCACAAAGCTACTGAAGGGTAATGGATGCTGGAGATTTTTTTTTAATGTTGCCAAGCATTCAGGATGTGCCTCAACCTTTGCTTTCCCAACTTGATCTGCTGCAGTGAAGGGGACCACAGACAGCAAGCATGACACAAAACCAGATGCCCAAGAGACAAATGGGATGCTGGAAGGAGAAGGGGACCAAACACAGCACGGTTATTCCAAGGCTTCCCCAGTAAACAATGACTGTTGTCTCGCATGCCACATCCAAAACACCAGCTCTCCTAGCAAACAAACAAAAAATGTCTTAACTTTGATTTAGAACAGGGGTGTCCAAGCTTGGCCACGTTAAGACTTGTGGACTTCAACTCCCAGAATTCAATGTAGGCTGAGGAACTCTGGGAGTTGAAGTCCACAAGTCTTAACGTGGCTAAGTTTGGACACCCCGATTTAGAGACTGCTGAGAGTGGTGGGAAACCCCCTCTCTTCACCAGAGACAAATCCAGTCCATACTGCAAGTAACAACTGCTCCAGATATTCACACAGGAATTTAAATTCAGTTAGATGTGAACGGACGTCTCATTGTTATAGTTCAATGCCATCATCTGAGGAAAAGGCCTCCAGAGTGCATTATTTTAACAACATAAAACTGAAATAAAATCCATCCAAAGGGCCATTAGCGCTCAGTTCCCCAAATATAATGGGGGGGGGACCATGGAAAAGGGGCATTTTCTTCCTGATAATAAGTGTCAGCTATGAACCAAAGAGTTCTAGGCTTCAGAAATCCCTTATATAGCTTTAGGAAAACCATATCTCTATTTTCATAATATGGAGCCTAATTTTCATAAGGAACGGGAATAGGAAGCACTTTCTAACATATAAAAACAGTTTACAAGCCTGCTATTTATTTTTAAATTATATTTTTATGTGGATAACTCTCATAGAATCCAGGCAGTTCTAAGGGAAAAAAGTGAGCTGGATTTTTGAAGATCATGTTTAAAAAGGAATGTATTTTTTTTTGTTGGATGGAGGCACTGTCAATCAGATGAAAGTTTAAAATAAAAAGTGCCATAACTTTATGTGTCACTTTACAAATAACCATGGGAAATCTGAGTGGTAAAATATAAGTAAATGATGCAGTTAGTTAGCAGAATCTTCCCCAAAGGTCTTCTGGAAAAGAGAATCACGCTTACGACTATTACTGATAGTTTCCCCAGGTTTATAGGCCCTTTTTATAACATGACACTTGATTGACAGAGGTAACATGATTTTTGCAAGTTTTTTTTTTAAAGAATAATCATACAACATCCACCGTTTTTTACCTATAGTGGTGGCCACTAAATTCAGCAAAGAATTGCTATCCCAAACAGTAACAATCAAAGCTCTGGCACTAGAGCATGGGTGTCCAACCTTGGCAACTTTAAGACCTGTGGACTTCAACTCCCAGAATTCCCTAGCCAGACAGCTATGCTATTGCTGGCTGGGGAATTCTGGGAGTTGAAGTCCAGAGGTCTTAAAGTTGCCAAGGTTGGACATCCCCTGCTCTAGAAGATGTGATTACCCACCTCTGCTCAATTCCTGAACCATAAAGTTTAGATCCTCAAAATTAGGACTGGCCACCCTGAAAACCTCAGATTTTCAATTCCATCTGGACAGAACTGCTAAAATGAGGATTGTTTGACTTCTTTCTGGCAGTTGCCTTCAACAGACGCGGGGGGGGGGTGGTCTGATGTTTAGAAGGAAAGCGGGGAAATTACGGTTAAAGGTTTCAGGAAAACAATCTACCACCTACTATCAGATAAAGAGATCCTCTAAACCCAAGGCTTGTGCTAAGCCCACAGAGGTCAGAGAAGATTAACCTCACACAAAGACGGGGAAACACCTGCTGCGGGTGTTAAACATCATCAACTGGTGATTCCATCTCCAGGGCGTTGTAGCTGATTGAGAAAGACCCGGGTTCAAGTCTCTATTTAAGCACTAGGTTCATTGGATGACTCTGAGCCAGTCATATATTTTTTCTACCCTGTCTATCTTACAGGATTACCGCTGCAAGGATAAAATTAAGGGAGTTTCCCCCCTTCCCAGGAATGCTGACTTGGCCTCCCATAAGAAAAGATGAGAATGTAACAATAAAATAACATAAAATCATTGAAAAACAAAGGCAATTATTTGCATAGTGTGATAAACCAAACTTCCCCCTCCTCTATTATCCAGATTGGTCCAAAATATCTGGAAGACACTAAATCGAGAAATTCTATAATAAACTGATCCCTTCTTCTTTCTTTTCTTTTTAAACAGCCATTGCAGTGGTTTTATTCAGCCAGTTTGCATCGGTTCGGTAGAACCGGTAGCTAATTTTTTTGTTGACTTTGGTGAACTGGCTGATGCCTTAGCCCTTTTTCACAAGGCCCAGAACGGACCGCCGGAAGCGCGTGGACGCCACTTCCAGAAGTCTGTTCTGAGCCAGGGAGGCCTCCCAGGCCCAGAAAAGATTTCCGGAAGTGGCATCTATGCAGAGAACCGGTTGTTCAGATATCTGAATCCCACCGAACCATTGATAATGGCTGCTGTTTGTTTTGAGCACTGATAACACCAGAGGATCCCTCACTATCATTCTGCTTCGTTGCACTTGGAAGGCAGGGGGGCATTAACAAGAGGGCTACAGTGCAGGCAACTGAGAAATGCGCAGGAGATAGTTGGCAACCAAACCAGGATAAAATGCAGAGGCCACACACTGCTGAAAAGAAAATAACAGCTGCAGCTCTGAGCAGCATGCATCAAACAAGACTTCCAGCCCACTGGTTCCACATAAGAAATTATCCTTAAAAAATGAACTTTCGCAGTTCTTTGGTATCGATTGTCCAACCATAGAGGTGAATGTTTCAAAAATAGTTAGCAGTTTGACAGTCATTCCTTGAAGAGTCCTCTACGAAAAGGTATTTTCAAGGGGAAAATGTCATGGTGAACTTACCTGCTCCTTTGTACTATTCTGCACGTGAAACTCATCATCCTTCCCATGTCATTCGTGCTGAAAGACTATGGAATTGCCTTCCCTTAAGCCAAGTCTAGCTAGGTCAGGTCTACACCAGCCTTCCTTGAACTGATATTGGATTATTGTATCTAAACATTTATCCAGCAAGGTCAGATAAGGCTGAAACTCTGCACTCTGGCAATGGGGTTGTCCGGATCATCAGTTCTGAAACCTTTCCAATCTTAGCTGGAATCAAAAGGGTTTCTACAACTGAACTATGTCCGATTTATTTCTCCTTGTGAATTCTAAAAACTAGACCCAAGAATGAATCTTGCCATAAATGATCTCCAGCAGTCCATTAACAAGTTGTACCGTCCTCGAAAATCTTTCATCTTGTGTGCCATGACTATCCCTGTATGACAGCAGTCCCCAACTTTTTTTGGCACCAGAGACCAGTTTCCTGGAACACAATTTTTCCATGGACCAGGAAGGGGGAATGGTTTTGTGCACCATCTAGATTCCTCGCATGCACAGTTTACAGTAGGGTTTCATGTGGCCCAGTTCCTAATAGGCCATGGACTGGTATTGCTCTGCAGCCCGGGAGGGTTGGGGACCCTTGCTGTACGGTACAAAACAGTAAGATGGATTTGGTGTACCAAAAGCCCACCTGTTGGTTGATCAGGGCAAGGAAGTATCCTGACCTGTAGGAAGCCCTCAGGAAGACAGAGCCCTTTCTTAGTATGATGCTGCAACGCTATTAGTCTTTTGAGTTCAGATCTCAATTCCTTTCCTTTTTAATATTAGCATTAGTAATGTACTGTTTGATCGTGTAGCTACAGGACTTCAGCTCTCCGCTCTCAGGTTCTGCAAATATCTGCCTTTCCCACTGGATTCCAAGGGCAGGAGACATGCCCCGATCCCGTTGGTGGGCTTGGTTTTTCTTTTCAAACTGCTAATTATTTTTGCCAGTACGGACAGAAACAACTTCCAGAAGTGAGCAATGACAGGTAACAAGCAAACACAGAGGCAGCCATGGCTTTTGTGCCTAAAATTATGTGCAGCGCGAGTACAAATGCAGGCGATCAAGAGAAAAGGGGAAAATAACCATTCACAAGCTAATTGTGTTCTAGAAAAACTTTTCGGGTTCTCCTTTGCCCCTCACCCCCTCTTCAAGGCAACGTATATATTTGACAATAGCTGCTGGAACAGCAGTGCACGCTGAAGCCAGAGCATCCAAGACTGGAATCAAGATGACTCAGATCATCCCTTGCCCATCACAAGCCTCTTGGTGATGGCTTGATGGCTCAACTTCAACCAACTCTTCAAAGACACCGAAGGTGGATTCACTTGGTTAGGAGACTGGCATTAATCCCTCTTGAAATGCTAATTTCAAATCAAGATCAAGAGAACTATGCATAATGAGTTGGTCAACCTCATCTTCTGGGATGAAAAACCATCAGGACATCAAAGATCTTCTGTCCACAATGACACCATGAGACATGTGGCGTCACTTGCTGGTTTATTGAGAATAGATTTGCACCCTGCCATCGTGATGCTTAGAGAGCCTTTCCCAGCCAAGGCCTTCTAAGTCTCTCTGAGCCCCACTACCCTCTACAGCAGGGGTGTCCAATCTTGGCAACTTTAACACCTGTGGACTTCCAACTCCCAGAATGGCTGTGGAATTCTGGGACTTGAAGTCCACAGGTCTTAAAATTGCCACAGTTGTATGCCCCTGCTCTACATTATGCAGACTATTACTCCCACTTCTCCAGACAGTCTCCCAGGAAGGGTCCCGCTGTCTGTGCTGGGACCTGTAGCTTGCCACTTCACAACAGGGTAGAGATGATTTTCTCTGACTGAGCTGTTTTCCTGTGACAGCCCTTCCCCTGCATGAAAGACCTCTTTTGTAAGCTCCTCCTTAACAAATGTTGGCCTTCCCACTACTAACGCCTCCTCCTGATTGATAACTTTCCAACTGCTTAAAAAAACTTTATGTGATCACATCGGCAAGGCATCAAGCTAATGAAGGTTTCATGGCTCTGGGTTTGGATTCAGCCAGGACTTTTGGCCACGTTTCCATGTGAGGAGAGGGTTGTCTCTGCCAGTCCAATTCCACTGCAACAACGAGCTTCCTTCAGCAGTGGAGAACTTGGTGTTTTCAGATGTTTAGGAACTATTTCTGATATTGCCTGAATGCAAATTACAATTATCTATGCCTGACCTACAAAGCTTTGATTTCAGCGTGCAAAGCTGCAGAACTAGGAGAATCCAAATTCCTGGCCTATCTCCCCCTCCGTCTTTGGTTTCTGCTACCTGGGGGTGTGAACAGGTAGGTCTAGGAGAAAGCCATACCTTCTCTTCACTGCTGATGTTTCGGGAAGAGGTCCTCCAAGTGATGGAGGGGGTGGGATCGCCAGAGGCCTCGCAGGTCAGAATGATCTGGTCTTCCAGTTCCATTGCAGTTTTGTTCTCCACAAAGGTGATCTGAGGTTTTGCTAAAGAAAGGGTAAAAAAAGAGACACACCCCGGTTGATTTGGCAACTGGAGATCGCAGACCCTTTCTCCTGGTAGCTCATTGTCAAAAAGGAGGTCCCGGGTTGCTAAGGGGGCTACTACAGGAATTAGAAGTGCCATATCGTCCAATAACACAAGAGATAATTTGCATAGGATGACATATTCTGCATATTTGAATGGGTCAAAATTAACTGCAGGATAAAAACGAAACAGAAAACAGCAATAAAGCTATGCAGCACGAGCAATTCACTAGGCACAGTCCTCAGCCTTTCAGAACTTGCTTTATAACACTAAGGGCTAGACACTTTAAAAAAATGGACATGTGTCACAGAACTACCTGAAAAAAATTCAGACTTACCGTAATTCTACACGTGATTTGCTAGTGGATAATCAAGTCTCTGATTCTGGGACTGATTTTGATCAAGGAAAGGAAACAAAAAGGCAGACCAAAGAGCTGTGAGGACCACTTACCAAAGACTTTGAGGTGTACAGTGGCATCGTGCTCTCCCGCTTTATTCTCGGCGATGCACACATACTCGGCCTCATCGTTCTTCTCCACCCTGTGGATGGTCAGCTCAGAGCCATCATAACTGAAGCCGTACTTCTCCTCATCCTCCCCTCGTTCTATTAGTTCTCCGTCCCTGCAGGTGAGAAAGCCCACGGGCAGAGATGGACATTAGCTGGGAGTCTGGCTCACCAGGAGACGGTGAGTTCTTGTCCCACTTTGGGCATGAAAGCCAGCTGGACAACTTTGGGCCAATCACCAGGAGGTGAGTTCTAGTCCTGCCTTGTCCACAAAAGCCGGCTGGGTGACTTTGGGCCAATCACCAGGAGACAGTGAGTTTAGTCTCACCTTAGGCATGAAAGCCAACTGGGTGACTTTAGCCAGTCCCTCTCTCTCTCAGCCCAACTCACCTCACAGGGTTGTTGTTGTGGGGAAAATCGGAGGAGGAGGAGGTGTTGGGTGTGTTTGCTACCTTGAGTAACTTATAAAAACGGTAATGATGGGATACAAATTAATAAATGAGCAGCCCCAGTTCCTCCCACCACCAGGGCACACACAAACCCCTCTTACTTGGTCCAGCTGATGATGGGCTCTGGGAAGCCATCGGCCTCACACACCAGTTTGACTGACTGGCTGAGGTTGGCAGTGGCGTTGACCGTCCCCTGCCGAGAGCGAACGGTGGGAGGCACTGGAAGGAAAGAAGAAAAAGTGGAATCAGGTCTGCCAGCTTTCAGTGGCGAAAGAGGAACAGGTGAGACCCCTGTAAAGTGGACTCATTTGTGGGTCTCTCTTCTACGCTCACCCCTCGCCTCTTTTCTTGGCCCGATTCCTAGAAGCTAACCGATTCCAACCGGCTGATTACTCTAGATTTGGAGGGCAGCTGCACTTCGACCCTCTAAGCTTCCTCTTCTTTTTTTAAATTTTGAACTTGTATTAGTTTATCAAAATATAAAGCACAAAGGAAAAGGAAAATGAGAAAGTAAGAGAGGTAAAAGAGAAGAGGAAAAAGTGTAGGGGGGGAAAGGGGATAAGAAAGAAAAGCATTGATTTCCGACTCGTTTTAGCACAGTAAAATAAGATAATAACACACAACCTCAACTTTTTACTAGCCATTTCTACAACAAAAAAATCAGCAAAACCCAAAGTCAAAGTTTCATTTTTTTTTCCACCTGAAGCACAAAGTCCAAAAGCAGTTTCCAAACAAAAGCGGTGGAAACAAAGTTAGCTGCATTCTTTTCTTTAATTAAAGCTAAAAGTAAGCTCCATATTCTGAATAAGCTGTCTTTCTACAGTGCTTGTCTAGAAAAAAAACACCTGCACAAATCTGGAAACACGTCCAAGGAGCCATCTGCTACTTTAAGATTTGTTAGCATCATACTGGTTATATTGCTGCATTTGACTGCTTAAAGACATAATTAATGCAGAGCACAACAGGAGAAATAAAACGTTTAGAGTTCAGCTTTCCCTGAAAAGGATGCCCACTTTAATTGCTCAGGTTTATGTGATCGGCTATCAGAGTCCTAAAGCTACCTATTCACACGTTTATGACTTCACTTGTGGTTACAGAGCATCAATCTGTGCGTGCATTTGGCAGAGGCAGCAGTTAAGAGGTTGAGTAACTGGGATGTCTAAATGCTCAGGATGGTATTGACCAACTCATAGAAGCAGAAGGCACCAGCAGAACACTTGGACCGTTCTGTCAAGGGTGCCTGGGGACTTGAGGAAGACGACCTACTTGGGAATCAGCCAGTGCCAAGGAGCAAGTGGCTGAGGACAATTTCTTCTACCTGCCCTGGAAATTATTATCATGGCATGACAGCTGCTGAACTATCTTCTAGCTTGTCCACAACTCAGAAGGGTTAAAATAAAAATAAATGGAGTCTCTTTCTATTCTTCCATTTCAAGGCTGCCGAAGAAGCTCTGCGGTCAAATTCTAATGAGTGAACAGAGAGAAACCATTTGTCAGCTAGCAATCCTCCTTCCTTCCTTCCTTCCTTCCTTCCTTCCTTCCCAAATGGATGTTCTCCAGATGTACCACCACAGGCAAGCAGGGCTGGGCTGGGCTGGCGCGGTGTGAGTGATGGCTTTTGGCCTTCTGCGGGTTATCAGATTCGGAAGAGCTGAAAGGAGTGGACAATGCCAGGTGCAGCGCCCAAAGCTCACGTGCCATCTAAGGCGAGATGCTCACCATTCACGATGATCCGGATATCCCTGAAGTCCACCTCTCCCCGTGCCAAGATCCTCCCCTCGCAGCGATACATGCCTTCGTCGCTTTTCTTGATCCCTCTGATCTGGAGGTAGTTATTGCTCAACACCACAAACCTCACTGGAAAGAATGGAGGAGAGAAGTTGATAGGTGTAAGATTGGCTACCAGGAGCTCCCAACCTTCCATCTTGGGCAAGCTTCATCATGTGACACGCATACTTCTTTCATTACAAATGGAAAGAGCTTCTTGGAAAGAACCAAGTCCAATCAAACCCAACCATAGTTACTGAACTCAGCCTACAATTTGCATTCCAGATGTTTCAGCTTGACTTATCAGTAGCTGACTTATCAGACTAGCCCATCCAGGCTTCACTCATTCTGGTGCTTGGCTCTCCAGAAGTAATCTAAAACATTCAAGTTATGCGGAGGGCTTCCTGTGCACCTCAAAACATGCATGCACACACAGGCACACACATACCACAAAGATGCACACACTTACCATCTTTTTTCAGGACCACATCCCTGCCCATGTGCTTCCACATAATCGTAGGAGGCAGCGAGGAGACAATATCACAGATAATAACTGCATCTTCTCCTTCTTTGAACTCCTGTGGGCTGGGGGCATGTTTGAAGGTCAGCTTCTCTGAAAAGTAGATGCAGGCAAAAGGAAGAGTAAATCCCGAGCCGGTCGGAGGTCATGCAGCAAGCATGCTAAGCGGATGAGGAGAAGGCCTGCTCTTTTCAGCTGAAGCAGAGATCAGGGACCTTGCAAGAGAGCAAATCAGCTCCTGGAGCAAGTAACTAACCACTAGGCTGCTCATGGATGCACGAGAGCGTTTTGCTTCACCCTATTCTGGAGGTTCTGCACTGTCAAACACCTGACATGAAGCTACAAGAAATACACACAACTCACTAACCTTAATAAAAACAGGAATTAATGGAAAATGCACATTTCAGAAGTGGAGGTTGGGCTTCCTTATCTCCATCAGATACCAATTTCAGAAAGGACTTAGCTGGGAGGAGGCAGGATTGACAGATCCATCACAAATGTTGTTTCTCTTCTTAGGTCATTCTATGGAAGATGTCTGCAACCTTGGCCAACTTTAAAACTTGTGGACTTCAACTCCCAGAATTCCCCAGCCAGCCATGCTGGCTGGGGAATTCTGGGAGTTGAAGTCCACAAGTTTTAAAGTTGCCAGGTTTGGAGACCTCTGTTCTATGGGGCAGGATTCCTTACAGAGGGAAAAGTAGGAGTTCTCTTGCTTCCCACCCTGCCCTTCCTTCTCCAGCCCAACCACTTACGAAAGATCTTCACATTAAGAGTGGCCTCTTCCTCCCCTTCCTCACTGGAGACCACACACTTGTAGATGCCGGCGTCCTCTATGTTGGCGTTATAGATGGTGAGAGTAGAAGAATCATCAGACCGGACCACAGAAATGTGCTGCTGGTTTGTCGTCAGCTTATCACCATTGGGGGCAAACCAGAAGATTTCTTTGGATTTGGCATCACCGGTCACTGAAACCAAGGAAGAAATCCAGGCAGAAGCTGGGTGAGGATGCCTGCTGGGTAAGCGTGTGTGTGTGTGTGTGTGTGTGTCACTGGCAGCCTTTCAAGACAGCCAGACCAAACAGGGCAATACTCATTTTATTGCAAAGATCTAGAAACGGAATCTTGCAAGTCTGGATGCACAATTGTTTATTTATTATTCAAATTTATTGGCTACCCGACTCCAGTAGATTTTGCTCTTTCTTCCACTTCTCTTTATCTTCATGAGACCTAGGGAGGATCTTGTCTGAGTTGTTTTTTCAGGTTTATTCAATTTGATTTAGTGAATTTATTTGTCACCCAACTCATAATGAATGACTCTGAGCAGCTACAGGTTACATGGTAGAGGGTTTCCTGCCTGAATAGGGGATTGGACTAGAAGACCTCCAAGGTCCCTTCCAACTCTGTTATTCCGTTATTATTTCTGCTCTGGACTCAACCCTCTTTTATCTGTCAGTTAATTCAGCTATTGCACGAGGAGAAGATATAGCTCTATTCAGTGGGTTTCCTCTCATGTAAAACTGGACTCCTCCCATAGGTTCAACAGCTGATTATGCAGCTACTCACCTTGACATAAGAAAAATTTGGATTCTCCAACAGGCACCTCCACCTTATTTGGGACAATGTTCACTTGAAGGGAGACTGAAAGATAGAAAGAAGCACCATGAGGTTACGATGTTCTTGCTCGCCAAACAAGGAAAGGTGTCATCTAATATTAATTGCAAACCTGAATGTCTGCAGAAAAGACTGTTAGGTCTAAGATTCTGAGCTGGGTTAAGACTACAGTCAAGAGGAATGCTGGCTTACCACCAGCTGATCAGATACTTAGGAGCTGAGGATTTGGGCAGCACAAGGAAACAACAACCAACGACCTAATAGCCGGCCATCAACACCCCAATCAACTAATAAGAAGCCACCCCCAACCAGCACCACATAAATACCATGCACAGAATAGCGTAAAGCAGTAGTTCTCAACCTTTCTTCACCACAGACCCCTTTAGATACCTTCTGTGGCTACAGACCACGGCCACGGACCCCAAGACTTAGCTCAAGATTTAAATCATAACATTTCTTCAAGCTATCGCAGACCCCCTCTGTTGACATTCTGGCCTCCCAGGGGCCTGTGGGCCACAGGTTGAGAACCACTGGCCTAAAGCACACAGCCCGGTAGGGAGACGTTCCCTGAGGATGGGCTCCAGCATGGGTCCGAAAGCTCAAAGGATTAAAGCTCTGGTCACGGCGACCGACCCGGATTGGATCCTGTTAGTGTAGCCCAAAGTGAAGACCTTCAGATGCTATATGGATTTTTAACAAGATCATTTGCATAGATCTGACCACACCTGCAACTTAAAGTTAGAATACATCTTGTTACTAAAGTTAAGGAAAGCAATGTTGATGATTTCTCTATAAGAATTAAGAGGTTTTCCCAATCCACACCATGCTTTTCTTTCTAATTCTTTCCACTCACATGGCTTCACTGGAGGCGAGTGACTTTCCTCCCCCTCTCCCAATAATGTGCCAGCTACTCTTTTTATGCTGTTTTATTTCTGGGTAATCCAATTTTGCCCGTCCATTCTCCTTCGGCATAATTCACTCCCAGACAGAATGACAGGACTGGACATCATCCTCCCACTGAGAGGTTGATTAGATTTAGTGCAGCAAAGACCTAAATAGCCAGGACTGAGCAACCTTGGGCCCATCTGCCTTTCCCCTGCCTCTCTTGGGCATGCTGTATAGGGCCAGCGCAATTTGGGCTGCAAGATCCTAAGTGGGTAGTTGCCCACTCTGGTCTTAAGTATGGATCTCCACAAAGAGCAGTTTCCAGACAGTGACTTCTCCTTGCTTCTTGTTGGATGAAGAATAAATAACCCTAAGGCATCTATTTTGACCAAATCATGCCAAAAATTCACCAGAGAAAGCAATTATGCTTGGAAGAGTTAGCGGTAAAAGGAAATCAGGCCACCAAAGAACACAGTGGGTGGACACCATCAAAGCTGACACCAACCAGAGCATAGAACAACTCGAAGAAGCAGTGCAAGATCGGAAGATGTGGAGAGATCTGGCCCAGAGAATCGCCAAGAATCAGACACAACTGAATGGATAACATCGACGTCATCATCATAGCATCTATACAAATTTGAGCGTGAGGTTGCCATGAAAAACGTGAAGAAGGCCTGGCTCAGCTTTGTCCCATGTTCAGGCAATGCTTGCAAAGCACCCCCCCCCCTTCCACAGAACATGCCTGCCTCTCTGTGCAGCTGGCTGAGACACTTTCTGCTGCGTACTCTAAGGGCCTCCGCACCCACACCAGCATTCGCCATCTCTCCCAAACCTTGGCATCTGAGAGTGTTGTGGTCTTTCATGAAAAGTAATGAGCCATTAGAGAAGACGTAATTGGATCCTGGCTCCCATCTGTGGATACATTTGCTGAAGCTTCCTGCCCTAACAAGTCCGGGTCAAAGAAAGATTTCAAGAGGGTCTGACCTAATGGGAGCAATTTCTAAATTGCAGTCATTAGTTGGATAGAAAACAATCACCTTAGTAAAAGAACTGCTTGGTCCAGCAGAGTCAAAGCATTTTCCCCGTCTCTATCGTTGCAAATGCTTAATCTGTTCCACCCTTTAGTGGCCCAGTGCTACAGGACTGTTTGCTTGCTTTTGGAGATGGTTAGAGCACAGACCCGTTTTTTTTCGAGTGCCCACCTGCCTCTGGGCAAGAACCTACTGTAAAAGCTGGAGGGCATCATTTTCCAGCATCTTCTTCACTAGACTCACACATTTACTGGCTACCCCAGAAAAGCAATAGCAAACAGCCTCGCTCCAAGAGGGGAGACTGTTAAAAATCTTGTCTGTAAGCCAGCGGATGTTCCTCCTAAAATAAACAGAAAGCGCCAAGGTTAAAAACCTTTAGCGTTTCCTGATTTACTGTCTCCGAGGTAGTCATTATGGTTCTCCATATTCTACAATGATATACAGGAGGTGTCACTGCTGACAGCAGTACTGGACTGCTGCAAGAGCATCCGTGTCTGATTTGAAATAGGCTCTTCAACGAGGAAAAAGGCCAAAGGCACCTCCAGTCAGATCAGCCTCTGTGCAACTCTGGCCCGTGACTGCGATGGGGAGGACAGCGCGATGGCTCCTGGCTGGAGGGCAACCAGTGCATCAAGGAAATCGGGTTGATATCAACAAGCATTCCGTCATTAAAAGTAATCTAGGTTTAAAAAAAAACAACCTGAGAAACTAGGATAAATGAAGAGTTATTGCCACTCAATTGTGCACAACTATTTGGAACAGAGTCCAGGTCCTGACATCACCATGACCTGCTTTTCTCCTGTGACAACCGATCAAAAGGAAATGCTAGAGCAGAGAGTTGCTAACCTTTTCCTGGGGCTCTCTGTACCATCAGAAAGCTTCTGAAGAAGACCCAGTTGAGGCACTTTCTCTTGCCCACGCCAGATAAAAGTGCCCCTGAGCTGCTTTGGGGGGAATCCCGCATTCTGTGTGTCTAAAGCAGTGGTTCTCAACCTGTGGGTCGGGACCCCATTTGGGGTCGATCGACCATTTCACGGGGGTCGCCAAGCAAGGCTGTCCGCCATTTTTTTTGTCCGCCATTTTTTTCCCCTTTTCCGGCGGGTGCCTTACCTCCCTTGGGCTGGGCCAGCTGGTGGTCGGCCTGCTCCGTCTCTGCCGCTTGCCAGCTACGCCTCGGCCGGCGCAGGGGGCGGAACCACGCATGTGCGGCGCTCCCGGGCAGGGAAAGTCCTCGACTTACGACCAGTTGGGTAGTCCTCAACTTACGACCGGTTTAGTCCTCGATGTACGACCGGTTTAGTCCTCGACTTACGACCGGTTGGGGTCGCGGCATTAAAAAGGTTGAGAACCACTGGTCTAAAGTAATCCCACGACTCAAGGAACATGACAAAAGTATGCCTAAAACCAGTAATCCCACGGCTCAAGGGATTACCTGACCCTCTTTATAAATTGATATCCTTCAAATGCAGCATTGTTTAAATTTAGAAACTGTGATATTGCAGAAGGATGCTGGTGGAGTAAATTACATGGCAGATAGTAACGGGACATCCCATATTATTGTTATTTTTTGGCTGCTCACAGGCCTCCTTTAATATTCTTATGGCTTACTTTGCATGGGTGTCGTAGCCAGGACAAAGGCTGTGTATATGATTAAGGCAGGAAAACAGGAGTTCAAGGCTGGTGACAGTCACTAGAGGACATCAGGAGGTGTTGCTAGACGGCAGCTTGACCATCCTCCCTTGACCCAAAGATGCTTTTCCAGAGGGCAACTGGACTTTCTTGGTTTTTTCCTTGAAAACATTTAGCTTCTCATTCAAGAAGCTTCTTCAGTTCTTCAGAACTAGCCATGGCTTTCAAGGAAAAAACCAAGAAGGTCCAGGTGCTTTTTGGCAAAGCACTTGTGGGACAACCATCATCTGAATGATTCAGAATCTCTACAGACATTTCTCCTCCCCTAACTTTAACTACATTTAAAACTCTGAATCTGAGGGTGCATCTCTTTTGCTTTTCCTTCAACTCGACCATTCCAATGAGACTTGTTCTAAAAAAACTTTCCAGCTGAAGTATGCACGTCATTCAGCATGCGTATGTCATGTCTGGCACATGCATGCGTGTGTGTGTGTGGGGGAGAGAGACAGCTCTGGACATCTTTACTCCAATGCCAAAATTTGGAATCAGCAAATCGGCTCATACTTCTTAAGCCTTCATTGCCACAAAGCCCTCAGATTTCCTTGCAGGAGATGGATGATAAAAGCATGGCTTTATTTTCCAAACATGTTCCGGTTTTCGATTTTAGCAGCTCCTGCTAGAGGAGATCAAAGGGCAATCTACCCAATTAACAGCTCTCACAGTGAGGGATGGAAGGATAGGTCCACCCTCACCAAAATGGTATCAAATAATGAAAAGCACCCCCTGCGTTTATTTTCATGTACCTGGATCAATGCTCTGGAGTGATTCTTTACAAAATTGGGGAGCTAATGTTTTCCATGCATAACTCTTAAATTCAACCTTTGACAGGTGAAGGCTGAACCTAAGGACATGGTATAGAATAAGTATTTTATCCCTTCTCTAAAGAAAGTGAAGGGCGTCTGTTGCATCTAATCACGAGATCCATCATCTGTGACAAATTTAATCATCAACTAAACAGACCCCCCCCCAACCAAATCCAACAGAAAGCAAGCAATGCATAAATAAATAAGCAAATGAGAAGGCAAGCCAGCAAATAATCTTGTAGAAATGTCAATTCCATTTCCATTTGCAGGATTAAGCCCCACTTCAGTAGGGAATTCTGAATTCTAGAATCTCAGTCTTTCCTCAACCACCACCATTGCTGCCTGTTTACACAGTGGTGACTCATAACCTTCCCTGGCTGGTTTCATGATAGAACGAGGAAAAGTTGAGGTGATTCTTGACTAATCTGACTGTTATGTGAAGGTACGTATCTCGCTCATCCTTACACAGAAGACCTGCACTGACAGGGAACAGTTCAAACAGAGTTCAAAATCAGAAGCTGCCTAACTCATTAAAGCAACCATGTCTTTTTTTCAGTATTTTGACACTTAAAGTAGAGATGTTTCTACTGCAGGCCACACTATGCTGGAAACAGACCCG